TCTACAAAATGAACATACAAACAAACACAAAATAAAGAGCTTAGGAGTCTCGCTTGCCTAGAAGGTCAATTTCATGTGTTGTTGAAATAAGTAAATCCTTTTTTTTTTGTGTGTGTATATATATATATATATATATATATATATATCCAATATCTATTAACATAAATTTAGAATTTTTAATAATTATTAAAATTTCAAATTGCAAGAGGAAAATTCAATATATTACCTTAGACATCATTATATGTACAGTAAAATTAAGAGTTAGTAGAATTTGTAGAGCGCACACACTCTCTCTCTCTATATATTGTATGGCATATTTATCATTGAATTCTCAACCTTCTTAAGGGATCTAAAATCTTCTCATCATATTTTCGAGATAAAATTACCATGCTTGCAAAAATTTTAAGGAAAAAACAATTAGTGAATAGAAAATTAGACCAATCTCACCAGCACAACAATGAGTGCAAAAAGCATCAGATCAACAAATCAATCGCCAACATGTCTAAGAGATAATTTTTTCCTTCTTAATTATGTTCTCTTGGTTCATACTTCGTATTATATAGGTGTTGCTTACTAGACTTCTATTATGACCTGAAATCGTTCAAGAGGCACTTAAAAATGAACTCCAATTATGAGCCAAAATCTATGCAAGAGACATTGATTATATATTTTCGAATGTGAAGTTTCGTGTGTGTCGTTAATTAGCTGAAATCGGAACTATGAATAATAATAAAATTATTATGTAAGTTTTATTAAATATTCAAAGTTCTCATATAATTCAAACAAGAAAAGATTTAATAATTAAAATATAATTATTTTAAAGGTCCTAAATAAAAAATAAATAAATGACTATTTTGTCAAGTGTGAACCCTATTTTTAAAAGATTAAAAAAGCGACTAATATCTCGTTAAAGGCCTTAGTATTTTTAATATAAGTAGTCTTAGGATACACTTTTTGCGCGCATGTCCTATATCAACGAATACATAACTAGGAAAAGTTACATAACTATTATTATAAAGTGTGTTTTAGTTATAAAATTAAAAAAATTAAAGAGAAAGAGTAAGTTCCTAAAAATGATGAATCTAGCTCACAGAAAATCTCATGCCTTATTGTGATTTTTGATGACTTCTAAAGAAATACTTAATGAAAATTATTTTTATTTTTTATGATGTAATGCTGAAAATAAATAAGTAACACAAAAATTACTTTTATCACGATTCTTTAAAGATTTGTCAAATTATACAAATAAAATATTAAATATTTTGATCTTTTCGAGATTGAGAATGAGGTTAGCCTTCTAACGCCTACAAGAAAATTGACAAAATAATAATATAAAATTTAAAAATGACTAATATTGAGTTAATATTTTATAACAATTAACATATTAAAATATTGATATTAGGACTTCCTCAGGGAATTTTTGTTGATAAGTGACAGTTTTACTAACCATATGAAAGTTTTCGTGATATCAGTTGGCTTTGACCTATGTGTTATTGGATCTTAGAACTCACGCAAAGTTTAGTTGATAAGTGACAGATTTAGATGATAGTGATAAACAAAATTTTAGTTAATTTCAAAACCGTAAATATCAAAAAATGAGCATGAAAGATATTATGCTACATAGTTCAAATAATTCAAGAATTTTATAAGATAAAATCTAATTGACTTTAAAATTTTAAATATTAGATTTTTTATATAGTAATTTAAATAAGAACTTATCTTATGTGAAATCTATTTTTGAAGGATTATTTTTTTAATTAATTTAAATAACAAAAAGTTTCTAAAAATTAAAAGTGGTAAATTTATAGTTAGAATTTAGAATCCGAAATATGAGTTCCCTAAATAATGGTTCTATCCTATTCAAATTCTATCTCTTGCTGACTTTTAAATTTGTCGAGGGATAATTTTGACAATGGAGATAAACTTTGCTTACCCACTTTAGTGTTGACGTAGCGATTCGATCTGTCTCTTTGCTTTCTAGAACCATGTTTCCCTGAATAAGACTTCCCGTACTTGCTTTTACTAATTTATGACTTGCGGGGATGGTTGGTTCGTGATTTGGAAGAGTTTGGGTTGAAATCAGAATATTTGGTTCCTTAAGATTGACCTGAAAGGCCAAGTTTGACTTCGGTCAACATTTTGAGTAAATGACATCAGAATCGGAATTTGACGGTTCCAACAGGTTCGTATGATGATTTCGAAGATATGTTCGAATTGGGTTTTGGATGACCCGGGAGCATTTTGGCGCCTAATAGTGAAAGTTGGTTCTTGAAGTTTTTAGAAGTTCTTTAAATTTGGGTTGGAGCGGGTTTTGGTGATATCGAGGTCCAAATGGAATTTTGAGACCGGGAATAGTTCCGTAATGTTATTTAAGACTTGCATGCAAATTTTGGTGTCATTCCGAGTAGTATACGTACGTTTCGGCACATTGAAAGTAAATTGAAGAACTTGAAGTTCATAAGTTTGATTCAATTGGTTTTAGGTTTTGTGATTCTTAGTTTTAATGTTGTTTCGGGCGTTCCGAGAGTTCGAATGGTCTGTTTTATGATTCCAAACTTGTTGGTATGTTCGGGCGGGACTCCGGGGGCCCCGGGCGTCAATCGGACGAGGCTCGGACTAAAATGAAAATTGGAGCAAGAGCTGAAGCTCCAGTTGTTGTCATAACCGCACCTGCAATTGGTCAGCCGCAGTTGCGAGCTCGCAGGTGCGGTTGGAGCCTCGCAGATGCGGCCCAAGGAGAGGAACCCAGGTTCCGAAGATGCACCTCTTTTTCCGCAGAAGCGGACTGTAGAAGCGGGTATTCGTCCGCACGTGCGGCCCCAGCCGGCCCAGCCCAACTCCGCAGAAACGGACCCTCGTCCGCAGAAGGGGGTCAACGCACTGCAGGTGCGAAAATCGCTAGGGCAATGCACTTCATTAAATACGGGAGTTAGGCATTTTTCTCCCATTCTTTACACATTTGGGCGATGAGGAGCTCTCAAAGAGGGAATTTCGACTTAGCATCATGAGGTGAGTAAATTCTACACAATGTGAGTTAAATACATACTTTATGGGTAGATTATAACATGTAAGTTAGTGAAAATCATGGGTTTAGGTGAAAACCTGCTTTTGCTAAAAATGAGATTTAACCACAAAATTTGTTATGGAATAGTAGAAATCATATATTTATGTTCCTAAGGTTATAGGTAACAACTTTCTTTAAAAATTCCTGGAATCCGAGCATGTGGGCCCGGTGGTGAATTATAAGAATCTTGCAATTTAGGTTGGGTAATCACTAAAATGGTGGAATTGTGAACTTTTGAGCATATATTGATTAGTTTATGTAATGTTTGACTAGTTTCGAGTCATTCGGCGTCAAATTTAGAGATTTGGGTGCGTTCTTGAATTGTGAAGTAGGCTTGAGACGAGGTAAGTCTCTTTTCTAACCTTGTAAGAGTGAAATTTCCCCATAGGTGAACTTAATTAATATATGATTAATTGTGGCGGTTATATACGCACGAAGTGACGAGAGTTCGTACGTAGCTACTATTCTTGTTATGTCCGGGTAGTTCTAGGCTTACACCACGCTTTGTGGATACTGTTATCTAAATATATTTGTTGATTTGCTTTGAATGGAGCTAAGTTGTGGATTTCAAGATTTCAAAGGTTTCAAGTAAATTATTATTTTGAAAAGAATTGAGAAAAATTACGTTATATTTATATTTAACCGCGTTGCAAGTATAATCCGCGAGCGGGGTGATTATTTTCACTACTCTCATGGGAACGGGCCGTTCGCCTCGACAGGTTAATAGATGCATCTATGATTCGTGGTCGTTCGACCCTCAACAGTGCATATTACTTTTATGTTGAATCGGGCCAAATGTCCTCGGTGACATTTGTGTGTGATAATAGAACGGGAACTCTTTATAGTTCGTATGATTTGTTGCTTGAAATGTCACTTGTTTTAAATGAAGAAAGTGCATTGACTTCTTAAGCATGATGGAAGGATTTTCTAGTTATTATTCTTGTTTTGAGCTTGTTGTTATCTATATACATCATGATTTTCAATTTGAACTTCATATTATTATATTGTTGGCCCTAGTAAGTGTCGGAATCGACCCCTCATCACTACTTCTTCGAGGTTAGACGAGATACTTATTGTGTACATATTTTATGTTCTCACGCTACACTTCTGTACTTGATTGTACAGGATTTGAGGCAGGTGCATCTAGCCATCAGTTCGGCGCATAGACTTGACTCCCCAACTCGAGACTTCCCGGTGAGCTGCCCTTTTGAGCCGTTCTACATCAGCTGGAGTCTCTCATATGTCTTTATTTTTCCTGTCTATTTCTTTTTCAGACATTAGGATAATATGATTTTGTATATTCTACTAGATTGACCACATACTTGTGACACTAGGTATTGGTACACACATTAATAGACTTATGATTTGGTTTATTTACATGATTATGATTCGTATTTATTGCTTCCATTTATTTATATTTAAATTTTAAACTCCTAATTTTTTATCAAATAAGGGAAGCTATCACTTACTAATTAATTAAAATGGGAATTTACTAGTTGATTAGTGTTGGCTTGCCTAACAACGGTGTTGAGCGCCATCACGACCTATAATGGAATTTGGGTCGTGACAGTTGATTTAATTAATATGTTACATGTTTGTAATAGCTAAAACTTACGAGTTCTTATGTAGTTCAATAAGGAAACATTTAATACCCAAAATTTTAGGAAATTTAAATGTTTCAACTACTAGAAAAGTAACTTAAATTATTATTTTATCTAATTAATTATTTTAAAATAGTAAAAAAGACGAACAATATTTGGCTTTTAATATAATATAGAAGTTTTTAGCCAAAATTGAATATTTTGGGAAGAAATTCAATACTTGAGTGAGATTGTGAAAATTTTGGGGTGCTAAAACTATTTTCCTATAGTTATGAAACTTGAAACTAAATTTGATTTTTAAAGGTGTAAATCATTAGCGGTAGAGGAGAAAACAGTCAAATAACAAAGAGTAGGGTTTTAAAGGGTTTAAGGCAACTTCCTTTAATTCTCATTTCTCACCCTTTCCCCAAACTTCCCAACAAACCATTACCATTTGCAATCCAATACTTCGAACTAGCTAATTTCTATGGCTATGGAGGAACCCAATACCACGTATATGGAAGTAGAAGGAGCTGAAAACTCAGACGACGACAGGGAGCAGAACTGGGACGATTGGAAAGTAGACGAAAACGGAGACGAAGAAGATGAAGCGGAAGCTATGAGCTCAGAGTTACTCTGCTTGTTCTGTGACTCGCTATACAATTCCAGCAATGCCCTCTTTGAACACTGCTCATCCGCACACCGCTTCAACTTCAACACTCTCAAGACCACTCTCGCCTTGGATTTCTACGGCTGCTTTAAGCTCATTAATTACGTTAGGTCTAAGGTACTCAACGCATCAATTTTGTTATTACGTGTCTAATGACCTTTTTTCTCACGAGTTTAAGTTGTAGATGGTGTAAAGAATATTTATACAGCCATGTCATTTATTAGGTAATTATAGGTAAATCTCCGGATAAACGTTAATTGATAATTTGGTAAAAATGATAATTAACCTGCTATTACAGGTCAACATTTACTGATTGGTGTAGAAAAAATGTATATATATAAACCCTTTTTTTATATATATTTTGATATTAGGTTGCTGAGAACAAATGTTGGAGTTGTGGCATTGTCTGTCGATCAAAGGAAGATCTACTGAATCATTTGCACGATGTTATTAATTTTGATGAGGGCTTATTTCCTTGGAATGATGATGAGTTTTTGAAGCCTTTCTTGAATGAGGATGCACTTCTGTATAGCTTTGATGAAGATGATGAAGGTGATGATGTTGAGGATATTATGTCTATCGACAAAAAGGAGTTAATTAAGGATTTTGAGCTTATTAGCATTGATGAGGATGATTTTGAGTCTGAAACAGAAGAAAACAAACCTATAGCTTCCAGTCAACATGGAGGGAAATCTGCTTCAATGACTGATACTACTTTCAGCAATGGCATTGTCGCTGCAGAAGCTGGTGTTTCTTCGTATAGGAACCCGGATGACCTAGATTCCAGCGTATATATAGCAAAAGTTGCAGCAAATAAGGTCAAGGACGTAAATAAAAGCTATTTTGGTGGTTATAGTTCATATGGTATTCACAGGGACATGATAAGTGATAAGGTAATTCTTATCTTGATTAAGCCTTTTCTACGTTATTAGGTTCTGCTTTGGCCCAATTTTTGATGTATAACAACCATCTTTTGTTGTTTAGGAAGATATAGTCAATCAGATTGTTTTTCCCATGTTGAGCTAAATGTTGATTGGACTTTTTCAATCTCTATTTGTGGTATCCTAGTTTACCAGACCCAGCATTTACTTGAATAGATTTTGCTTGTAATTCTTGTCCAACAAGAATGAACTGCTGCTTACTTCAATACAAAGTGAACATACTTCACTAACCTAAGGAAAGAAGAGAAGACCAGACCTGATCTAATCTAGTTATTCTGCTTCTCTAACTGGTCCTTGGTAATTTTTTTAAAATTTTTGGATCAGGAAATACTTTTAATAGAAGAAGCACCAATAGAATGACAACTGTCACACATCAAAGTATGCTAAGCTCCAGAACAAACATTATATACCGCCTAGCACCTTGTCTTCATCAGAATGTATCAATATCCCTATTATAAACCACACTGCTCTCCATTCTCTTTAATTGACATTAAAGTGAATTTTCTTTCATCAGCTTTTAAATCTGATTGACATCCATTTCCTGCTGTTGCCTTCCAAGCTTTGTCCAATTGTCGTGAAGCTGATGTATGTTCTTCCATGGACTCTTGATAGTTACATTATTGGCAAAAACTATCTCATTATGCTTCTTTGTGCCATATAAATGTTTGCCTTCTTTCAGGAAAAAAGCTACTGCTGAAATATTTGGTAACAAGATTGTTGATATTGTGGCTTATGCAGGTAAGAACTGATGCTTATCGGCAAGCCATTTTGGGGAATCCTTCTCTCGTAAAAGGTGCTGTAGTCATGGATGTAGGTTGTGGTACTGGCATATTGAGGTTTGGAGAGATTTTACTCATATTTACTTTATATCATTACAGTTTTTACTCGTGTAGTTGATCATTTGATGCAGTATTCTGATGATTTTGGATCTTCTAAATCCTTTTTAGATCCCTTTGTTTTGTGAACACTTGAATCCTTGGCTGAGCTTTCTTGTTCTACTTTTAGGGGAGAAATCATGGAGAAAAAAACAGGAACAGTAAAAACTACGAAAGGAGGTAGTTGGAAGTGAAAGAAGATAAAGTGAACAAGCATTAAGCTCTGAATCTATTTGCTTTTTTATATTACAGTACCCTAGCTGAAGAAAGGAGAATTAAAATTTCATCGCCTTAACCATAAGGTGAAATAGTAGTACATGTATCTATTTCTTTCAGCCTTTTAGATGAGCCACTAGCAGGAAGAGC